CGTTCTACCTTTGGAATCTTTGTAGCGGGTTGTCAAAGTCTTGCTACCAAGTCGTTCTTGAGGAGTCATTGCCCCCAAATCCAAAGAAGCGATAAGAGGAGTCGTTGCCCAAACCCAGGTCCGTTTCCACGATAGGGATGCATACTTTCTCATCCAAAAGGCCACTTTATAGGTCTAAGTGGCAGCAACCAGGGAGCTAATGACCAAATCAAAAATGGTTTGAATCACCATGTTCCAGGGGTATGAGAACTTGCACCCAGAAATAAGAGATAATAAAAGTATATCCATGTTAAAAAATTGTAGCACATGAATCCAAGCAACTGGAACCCCAAGTGCTCTCAATGTTTCAACCAGCCAGATATAGCGGGGGTGCATCGCAATCAACGAATTGAGTGGGTTCTCCATGAAGTAAACCCCACCAAGCACAACTGTGAGGAGCATCAGTATGCAACTCCTTTGGGGGAAGCCCAAATGAAAACACCAAACCATTGCATGCTTTCAGTCCAAAGTGCATCAATAAACTTTATTGATGGGCTGATGTGAACCATGAACTTTGAACAACCACAGTTTAAAAAAACACAGTCCTAGCTGTTAGCTTGTTGCCACGTCTGACACTGGGATAATCTTCATTCCCCAAAGGAGTAAGAATATCCCGAAGTGTGGATCCACGATTCACAGGCACCCAGGAGCTGCATACAACAGCATAAAATGCTGCAACTGAATCGCTGCAAAGAAGTAGATGTATAGCCAACCTGAGCGATTCAAGAACATACAAAGGGCACATGCAGTTGGAAAGGAATTTTCCAGAAACATGTAGTAGCGGGAGAACCCAATATTGAAATCAGTACAGCATGTAACAGCAATTCTTGGTGTAACCGCTATAATGTAAGCAGCAACTTGTGTTGTAAACTCAACATGCATAAAACAAAAACAACAAATTCACTAAGCATTTGTCTAGTAACATCAGGCCTGCCGACCCATTGAGATCCATAGGTGGTCTGGAATTGCCTCTTTTCTTTTTTCTGGGGATATCCTTTCCATATTCCAAATCTACAGCTGCAGTTTTGTATCCCTGGTATTTGGCCACTGCAGCAATTCTTCCCACTCCAGCAAAATATTCTATGACCTGATACGGTTCATCTGGAGCATGAAGGTTGTGCCACCATACGAGGAGCACCAAAAGAACGATCACCTCAGCAGACATGTTTATGATGCCATATGGCGTATGTAGATCGATCTGAAATAGCAGGTTCCAAAAACTTATTCCTTGATGTCAACTATCACAATACCAAGTAGTATTACAATATTCAGGGCATGTATATCTGCTTTATACATATATATAGTTATCCCCAATGTATATGGGTCTCACTGGTCAATCAAGCGTCCTTAGGCAACTGAAATGCAATCATCTTGCGGACAAAGGCTTCGAATTGGTCAGGAGTCATGGCTGCAAACGGTGGCCAAGATGTTTTGAACTGAAAGCCCCAAGCAGGAAACATTAAAATGCAATCCTGGTCATACCGTTTGGTTGTGTCCAATCAATGTGAAGTATTCCGCAATATTTCATTGTACTATGTGTTCGGGATTGTTTGACTTTGGTGGAACAGAACCACTATGCAGCAGCAGGAAATTTAATGGGTGACACAGTCTTGCCCAAAAGACCCAAATGGAAAAGGCACTCACATTCTTGGATTTCAGGTAACCCATAGCCAGGAAGACCTTGTTTTGGGCCAATCCCGAACTTGGCCATATTGACTCCGCCTCGCAACCGAAACTCCGCCATGGTCAACCTGGCAATCCAGGGGAAATTGAAGGCTGTTTACTCTGTAGTTGCTATACTAATGATCGATATAGAGTACAAAACGTTTTTCAGTGGAACCAGCGGTGGCACTGCTTGACTGATATACATTGAAGATAAACCACCATAAACCATATACCACTCCAAAGATAAGATGATCGAATTTCAACAGCATAGTTTGTTTGAGTATTCATTCAATAACTGTTTCAAAATTAAATGGTAGATCATTCCCCCAAAAAAGGAAGATGAATTGTCAAGACAACGAAAACCAACGGGTTGCTTCAAGTTGTTTTTTCCCCAAGCCAGTAGCCGTACCAAGCAGTCAATGTGAGGCTTGCAATGCGACTCTGCCACATCGAGATCACGTGATATCACGTGCCTGGACTGCATGTTGAAAATGCAACACGCACTACCGGAACGATCATTCAATGCACCTTGATGCACTGATTTGACTGGCCACATATTTGGCCGCCACCCCCAAAAGCTCATCCGAATTGCTGCTCCTAAAAGAGCGCCAGCATACCAAGTGACGTCCCAAGAAAGGAAAACTGCAAATAGCTGAAAGGCAAGAAATGATTTTAAAGCATTCTGGTTGCGTTCGAAAAGACTGCAGTGTGTATATATATATCTAAGTTGCACATGTATTCAAATCCACTTGGAAGGTATGGCAAAGCAAACCTATGGGGCAGTGAGGCCACGGTTATCCTTGAACAAACTCACCTGCTGGTTTGCAGCAGCCACAAATGCTTGCAATGCATCCGCGCTTGAATCTGAGCGGCCGAGAGAAGTCAAGTGATCATCGTCCTTGAAAGCTTTGGCGCACCAGTTCCACCATTCCACCTGCATGCGCAAGTGTTGCACATTGCGCACTGGTCTTCCCAAAAGTTTTTAATTTGTATGTTCTAGTTCCAAAGCAAGAGCCAGTCATAGTCTTACACATCCCCATCCACATGTTTAAAAACAAGGGGGGCAAACAGGAAATCTCGTGCCTCCACAGGGTAGGGCTTGAAACCAAGCTCCTCAATGCAATCCTTCGCATGCTGGTTGAAGACATCTCGGACTGCTAACCAACGCTCACGAGCAGGTGTCAATTTCGGGATGAATCTCCTGGCAAAGGATTTCACATGCTCAGCTTTGGCATCACCTTTGCCACCACCTTTAGCATCACCTTCACGTCGATCATCATTGCAACTGCCGGGACCATCGGTCTTGGGTTTCTCAACATGTCCAGAGCTTCCAGAGCTGCCCATGGGCTCAGCCGCATCATCCTTGGGAGCTTCAGGAAGAACCTTATCATCCACAGCTTTGTCCTGCACAGGGGCCCATTTGAGGTTTCCGGCAACCACAGGAGCAGCTTCTTTTGAAACATGTGTCCAAACAATTTTGTTTTTTTCATCTTCCTTGTCCTTGGCAGACAGCGGCTTCTCACCCTCGGAGGCAGCAGAAGCTTGGCGCTTCTTCTTAGAACCAGAAGCCTTGGCCTTTGCAGCCCTCTTACGAGGCTGCTTCTTCTCGACTGCCTTTGGAGGCACAGCACCGTTGCCATCAGCAGCAACAGCTGGTGGTGCTGGGGTCGGGGGAACAATGTCATCGATAGTGATGAACTTGCGGGTGTTTTTGCGGCCTCCAGTACGCGGTGCCGTCTTGGGCTTTGCCTCCTTGGCTTTGGCTGCAGCCTTGGGCTTTCGCCCTCGAGGCTTGGGAGCAGGTCGCAAAGACCACTGATCTCTCCTCGGAACGACAGGAGGCTCTTCATCATCTTCACCCCCATCACTGATCTCATCAGCAACCACCATCTTCTCATCTTTCATCTCACCCATCTCTCCATTCTCATCTTCAAGCATTGGTTCATCGTCACAACCACCAGCCATCAGTGCACCCTCACAAGCATTCACTGGCTGTGAAGGTGCAGGCACTGCTGAGCAAAGGGCCTCCACAGAAGGAGTGGTTTCTGGATTTGCAGGTGTTGGAACAGCCTGTTGTTTCTCCACGAAGGCATCCTCAATCAACTGACAATCCAACTCCTTTTCCACAGATGGAGGCACATGGTCAGGCATCTGGTCCAGCGCATGGCATGCAGCCATAGGAGCTTCATCGGCCTTGGCAACAAGGTCACCAAGCTGATCCTCAACTGGATTTGGCACCAATCCCAATTCATGATCCGGGACAGCACCTTCAAGCCCATGATCAACTGGTGCGGCCTCTTGTGAGCCATCAGCCACACCCCCAACTGGTGTAGCCTCCTGTGAGCCATCAGCCACACCCAAATGCTCCTCTGCCGAGAACTGGCGCTGCAGAGAGCGCCTGAGACCATCATCGCAACCATCATCAGTAGGCATCATTTCCTGAACCGCTCCTGCATGGTCAGGCGAAGGGGTCAAAGCCAAAGCACCAGCCGAAGCAACAGCATCGGACAGAGAGGGTGGCAAAGGTTGTGTCTCTGCATTGTCCATGGCAAACTTGGAAGCACGTCTCTTTGCAAGTTCCAACCTGAGTGCGCAGAGTTCTGAGACAGGCAATTGGAAGGAACCTTTTTAGAGGGGAGAGATGTTACCGTTGTGAAACTTTGCCATACAAAACGTAAAACATTGAGGTCACACTGCAGTCAATTAGTTGATGCTATTCTATATCACAAATTAATTAATTATTGATATAATAATATTCATGGGCTATCGGTAAAGAAATGGATCCATACACTGTCAAAAAAAATATCGAACAAATAAATCAAATACTGTCCCAAAAACTGAAGCTGCGCAATTCGGGCTTTGATGTCGTCAGCAGTTGTGGGCTGGTCTGGAGTCACGCAAGAGGTCTTATCCTTATCCCCCTTGGTGTCTTTCATGGGACTGTTGTCATCATCAATGGTAACTACAAGGGGAGCTTTCACACCATGTTCCGAGCACTGTGTAACATTCCCTGAAGTAGCGGGCTCAACCTTCACAGGTTGTTCACCTTTCACAACTGGTTTCACTCCCGAAGCTGGTTCAAGGCTGACAGAGTTGGAGAGGTTCTGTTTGCTATCCTCTATGTATGGGTCCATCTTGACCTGAATGAAATCTGAAAAGTCGGTGGATTCGTCATCAGAATCTTCCACCTCGATCTGAATCATTCTAACACCAGGCCGAAGACGAACGTACCAATGTCGGAATAGTTCATCAAAAAAGGGATTGGTGGCAACTTCCTGGTTTGAAATGGTTTGGCTATGTTTGGATCGAAGGAGTTTCACTTTGGAATGAACAGGTCATGGTATTTATATATATATATATCATTAATTATATATATATATATATCATGAATTATAATATATATAGATATTATATATATATATATCAATCACTGCAGAATCGTGCAGAGTGCAATATCATTCACTCCAGTTTGCCAAAGTTTTGAAACATGAATCCCTTGCGCAAACCCAAGGCTGGTCAAAGATAAGATTCACGGCGGTTCGGTGATCTGGAGGCCAGGTTGTCCGCTCCGGACTTGCGAACACCATACGTGAACAACTTCTTCAGCCCCCATGAATCATGATGCAAAGCCACCAAATCCGTGGGTAGCTGGCAAATCCCTCTCAGATGATTCACCTGCCAGGGAAGTTGTCACATAATTAGATCTATATATGACTGGCCAATTGTGATGTAAATTGTCAAAGTAACCAAATCACATAGATGATCACTAACCATGAAATTGGATTTGAGCATTTATGGTATGAACACTATTGCAAAACACATTCTATGGTGTTCCTTTGGTGTGCCTCTTTCTTCAAGTCCAAAACGCTAGGGCTCTTTGGGGATGTTTGACGCTTGCACCACCAATTTGCCAAATGTGTCAAAGCACAACAGTTCAATGCTATGCCAGCCATAGTCGGCTTGTTGATGAGCTCATCCGACACCCATTGGACCATTTTCCCACCATTGTTTCTAAGACGATCTCTCACCTGCCGGTCAGATTCCCACAACTCTGCCAAGTCTCCCACTGGAAGGGTTTGCCTGCTCGCCTTCCGGGTGAGCGGGCCATTCCCAGCACTTGCCAGGCTGGAAGCAACGGTAGGCATGATTGGCTCAGTTGGCCAAAGGCAGCAACAATCAGATGATGCAGTGCTGAACCCCAGAAAATGGCTTCAGGCCAGTATTGGTACATCGGGTCAAATATCCACTCCAATTCATGGCATCTAAAGTTCAGATAGACAAAGCATTCTTCCAATGTATGGTTTGAGAATATGTGTTAACTATGGGTCTTTGACATCAGTTTATTTGAACTTAGCATCCAGTGATCCATCCTCGAGACGAGCAGTGCCTAAACAGGGCAGGCGCACTTGGAGGATCTGCATGATAAAGTCAAAGAAAAAGGATGGTGCCAGCATCACAGCATGTGGACGGCGCCGGTGGGGCTTGATGAAATCCGATATGGTTTGATGACTTTCTAGTTCATCAAGCTATAGATCTTATGTTATTGGAATGATGGTGTTGCAGTGAAACCCTCAGCATTGTTGATGTCGAACTGAAAGTTTGATTGAACACTGAAACCACCATGAAACCATCAAATTCATCCACTGGTCAGTTCTTTCCTGAGCCCCATGGGAGCTATTTTGGATAAATCATGAAATCAGCCCCTGGCTGGATTTTCATTCCCTTATTTCACAGGGTCACTTTTCCCATTAGGGACTAAAATTATGCAGGCCCTGGAGGCTGCAGGTATACAAATATACAGTACAGTTTGTATCAGTTTGTGCATTTATCGCGTTTGTGCACTTGCTACCCAAGAAATTAAATATTGGGTTTTTGTGAGCATATTAATGTGATATGTTTTCCCCAAGCACTGTCATAAACAGCACGTGGGCAGTTTTATCCCTAAAGATTTGGTCGACCTATGCAGTTGGATCCCAGATTTCAAGGATCCATCCGTCATTGGTCGAAAGCGCAGGAATGCGACGACGTGACCAGAGTGTTGAGCCTTGGCAAAACTGGTGGATTCAAGAAACTGGAAAGAAAGATTACCCATACTGATAATTGGATACGTTTGTCATTGTCACTGTATGTCACTCTATTGAACTCGGAGGAACCATCGGATGTTTGTAATTGGGTCCGATGTATAGTTGCCATCAGTTGACAAAAGGTTAAACCAAAAGAGAAAGGGATTTACAGGGTTCAATGTATGTTAAGTTCACTTTAAGGTTGCAAGACTGTGGTCCAGTCAAATAGACCGCTGCAATCACTGCAATCCATGGCGTGTCAAAACCGAACCAGGATGGGCACCATGGATAGGGGGTCCGCAAGCTCTGCCTTCCCAGGGTTGGTTCTAACCTCACTCACTTCGATTACTTTGCGCCGGGAGGCAGGGCTCAAAATCCGGTTTTCTGGGAGTGAACCTAAAGGGACATTCTGGGGCACTAGACATGTATCATCCTGTTAAAACAGACGAAATCTTCCATTGCAAAGCCCAATTGGATTTTATGATTTTGGGTTCCATTTCTTTTGACTCAACCCATCTCAACCTCGAATTTGGGAGTTCTGGAATTCCCCATTCTTCGGAAAATCATCCAACTTACCTTCGGTGAATTCTGCTGGCGAAGGTGACCAGCTTAGTTGGTAAAGGCTATCCCAGTTCTGACTGGCTATCCCAATTCCATCCAATTCCGAGAGCTCTCATATTCCAGTTATCAGGTGCGTACCTGTTTTTTTTTGGGTGTCCTAGGTCCTAGGTTTTTGTGTCGGCTGGTATCGCAGTGTAGTGGGCCCACGTTCCAGTGTTGCAGTGGTGCCTCCAAATGGTTAGGCTGTTTTAGGGATGTTTTAATTTTGTTGTGTTCGGCACAGCAATGACTGTTTATAGCCCTGGGAACACCCATGAAATGTATGTATATATATATATATACCTAGAGACTCATGTATCCAAAATTTCGGGCGCATTCCCAACCTACAAAAAAATCAGGCGCAAGTCCACAAGAATGGCGCAATGTAGAAAACATGGCGCAATTCCACAAAAACGGCGCAATGGAAATTCTGCACGGGCAAGGACGGCGCAATCACGGGCAAAAACGGTGCAATCATTGGCAAAAACGGCGCATTCCAACACCAAAATCTAAAACCATATTTGTTTCCCAAAGAACGGCGCATGCCAGAAATCTCAGCGGCAATCAGATGAAACACTGTTTTGCTAGACCAGCATCAAAATTTTGATGCCGCTCGAGTCTCTAGGTATATATAAATAGTAGATCTTGGTGCTTCTCTGGCTTGATTGTTGGTGATCTCTTGTTTGACTACAGATTGCAATCATCACATATCCCTTTAAGATGGTGAAATGAGGTAACTTTGATTGATGGAAGGAAGTCTAGAAGTCAAACTTCCGACAATATGGACAGATGAAAAGCAGAGATGGGAAGAGTCAGAGAAGAGAAGAGGAAGAAAGAAGATCAAAAAGAGAAAGTCTCCGAAGAAAGAAGATCCAGGTGCGCGAAAAGGTAGGAAAGTCGCGAGACACTGTGTTTCAATGATTTGTGGCTCCGGAGGGTCGAAAAGTAGGCTCGCTAAAGCCGCGGGTGCGGAGCCAGTTGGCCAGGTGAGAGATGAAAAGTTGCATGCCGTTGTGGCGCGAAGCACGTTTCCAAGTCAAAATGTACAAAACACCTCAGCTTCGGAGCACTTTTAGAAGTTGAGATGTCGAAAAAGTGCACGCCGTTGTTGTGCGAAGCACACTTCGAAGTCAAAATGAACAAAACACCTCATGTACGAACCCCTTTTGGAAGTTGAGATGTCGAAAATGTGCACGCCGTTGTGGCGCGAAGCAAATTTCCAAGTCAACATCTACAAAACATGCGTCCTACCTTAGGAAATTATTTTGAGGTGGGAGTGGGTTATGGAATATTTTTTTAATAATTTCCAATTTTAACATAAATTTTATGTTAACATCAGCGAACAAGAACCATAGCAAAATAATTTATGCACCCGTAACCCGATGATGGTGCAAAATAATTTTCCACCTACAGAGGTTGAAGCACCTTGGAATAATTTTAAGCAAACAACCGAAGGCACCTCAAAATACTTTCTCAGTTGAACTGGGGAAATTATTTCGTAGGGTCCCAACTGTATAAAATAATTACCAGCCACCCAGGATGACAATTATTTCATGGGGAAGTTGAGTTTTGCAAGGTTAGGTTATTTTGTTTTCTGGGGTGGTCTGGTAGTACCCCCACCCCCAAAATAATTTTTTGGGGAGAGAGGAATCGATTCAGGTTTCTTTGCCCAAAAGTCGATGATAAGTCGATGTTCTAAAAAATAAGTAGTTCAGTAAGTAATTCATGGTAATTCTCAGGGTTTGTCTCTTTGAGGAAATTTGGATACAGTTTGGGTCAATTTGATTCAATTTGGATTCAATTTGGTTCAATGTAGTATTTTTGATCTATTCAAGGGGAAGTTAATTTTGCCAGGTTAGGCTATTATTTTTTCTGGGGTGGTCTGGTGGTACCCCCACCCCGAAAATAATTTATTGGGTAGGAAGGGGTCGATTCAGATTTCTTTGTCCAAAAATCGATGGTCTAAATAATAAGTGGTTCAGTAGTGAACCACCACCAAAATAATTTTTGGGTGTGAAAGGGGGTCGGTTTAGAGATGTTTTATTTGATTTGTGCCACAACCTCCAAGTGGTTTAGTGCTTGTCGGGTGCATTCGAGAGGAGAGGTAGGGTGACCCCCCAAAATAATTTTGTGGAGTTTTTTGCTAATTATTTTGAGGTGGTTCTACTTGTTTTTTCGATCATCCAAAACCATCTTAAACCACCTCGAAATAATTTCCAAAATTAGTTTGAAGTAAGGGAAGTGTTTTTGAGAAATAGTGGTACCCTACCAAATATTTTATTTGCAACCTTTCAGGAATTATTCTGGGGGGTGGGTAGTGTCATTTTGAGGTGGGTTAGAGTGTTTTTGAAAAAATATTTTGAGGTGGGTTGTGTACTAGAAGCACCTCAGATTAATTCCTAAAAATTATTTTGGGGGGTGACCCTAGTGTTTTTACCTATGGTAGCCCGCATTACAAAACACCACATGCACGCGCCACTTTTGAACGTTGAAGCGCTACACTAATTACATCTAATTACACTACACGATACCAATTACACTAACAACTACAACAACTACTACTACCACAACTACAACTATAATTACAACTACACTACACTACACTAATCACTAATGACACTGCAGCACACTACAACTACAACTACAACTGCAACCACGCTACATTACACAACACTACGCTACACTGATTAGATACCATTACACTATGACTACAGCTGCAACTGCAACTACAACTACCACTAAATTACATTACACACACTACGCTACACATACTACACTACACGGCACTGCGCAACACTACACTACACTGCACTGCACTGCACTGCACTGCGCTACACTACAACTACAACTCCACTACCTTACACTAGGCTACACTACACTATACCACACTACACCACACAACACTACACGACATTACACTGCACTACACTTACACCACACCACGGCTACAACTGCAACTGCGCTTGCAACTGCTCTAATTACACGACATTACAACTACAGCTCCACTACACTACACTACAACTACAGCTACAACTGCCACTACGACTGCAACTACAACTGCAGCTGCACTACACCACACTACATCCAGCAGTTGTGGTAAGGTGACCACTGCAACCATTGCAACCATTCCAAAAAACACAACTCCAACCACCTGTCGGTCGATCAGTGGATTCGCTCTGCCATCCGTGATTCACAACAACCAACCTCTCCTATAGGTTTCCTATTTTTTAAACTTCCGCCACCGCCTTGTGCGGCACTACTGGTAATTACCAACCCCAAGCAAATCAGAACAATCCAAATTCTCAAATAATAGTTATGACATCATCAAATCTCCCAAATTTAGTTACTATGAAATTATGACGCTTATATTTCACAATTGTCATTTAAACATAATCATGATCTGATGATCTGATCTAGCTGACAGTTCTGATGATTCCATTACCATCTTCGAAGATAAACTACGTCACTACGTATGAGTAGTGATCATGAATCATTATCGTTTGCGTGAGCTACCTTTTGATTCTTTCATAGTCCCTAATACTATAAGACTATATCATTGCAAGTTGATTTACTGTAGAAATATTTTTTGTGACATCTATATAATGTTATCAAATTCTACCCTAGGGCAAACATACAAAAAGATGTGGAAAACCATGGTTTCCCGTTCGAAAAAATGCTCTAATTCATGGTGGCTTTTCCACATCTATGTTGTAGCATATCTGGTAATGATTATTTGATGTGACATGTATTATTAGCCACATCAACCATAGCAATCAATATCTATATTTATATATATAATATAATCATAGTTAATGGTTGATATTTTGCAGGAGGGTGAGCAATCAATTCATATTGACCATAATTAACCATAGTTAAAAATTGGTATATCTTACAGGAACGCCATTGATGTCACGCCAGGCGATGCGCCGTTGGCCTGGAGAGCTGAACGTTTTCAGCGCCTCGGAGACGGTGGCAGCGTGCAAGTGGCCCAGGTGGCCTTGCCGGGGGATGGGCCCAACAAGAATGGGCTGGGATTGGGAGAACTGGGATTTCATAGGGATTTTTGATGGGGATGTTCATGAGATTTGTTTCCGGGATTTGGGATGTAATGGGGATTTCATAGGGAATCAACGGTGGTAAAAAAAAAACATGGGTTTGTCTGAAGATAGGGGATATCCCCATGGAAAAGACGATGAGAATCCGTTGGAATGGGGGGGAAAACCAATTTTTCCACGGTGATCATCTCCAAAAAAGACAGAACTATACCATGATTAATCCGCAAACATGGAGGTTTATGTAGAAACATTGGTTACCATGATTTACCATGATTTGTTTTATCATCAACCAATGTTTTCCCTATTTAGACATGTTTTATTTGCCATGATTTTAAGAAATTCACGTTTTTGTTTAAAATACCGGTTTGGGATGACCATTTTATGTGATGAACCGCCAGAAACTATCCCTGATACTAGCATGGATCAGCATGAATGGGTGGTACAAGACAATCCCCAATTGATATCTTGATTGGGTTTACCAGTTTACCTCATTACCATCAATTTGATGGTTGATCGCAATTTGTTCCTGTAAAATGCAAAAATATGACCATATTTTGAGAGTGCACGATATGTTTATCACGGAGCATGGTTTTCAACGTGGTAAATCCAGTGATCAGAGTGACAATGACAATGACAAATATAATGATAATGACATTATTGGTTATAGCACCCTCCCCAAAAGAAGGAAAATACATTCTATTTCCAACTAGTGAACACATATTTTTCCATTTTTCTGAGGCTTACCATAATTGACCATAATACTGTAATCAACCATAAACCATTAACCATGTTTTTTTTTAAATATATGGTAGACCCAAGAACAGTACATGAAAATTGTACAGCAATATTGCTATTTACTATCAAACATTCGCGAGAGTAAGACTTGATCACGCTATTTGATAGTAACTTGTAATAGTATAACAAATAGTAAATGTATAGTAAATAGTATATATCCTTAGTAATCAATAAGGAGAATAAGGGATGGTTTTCTGGCAGGGTTGCCCGATTCTCTTCTTGAAGACCCACGGCTAGATCCCGACCCATGGTGACTTGGGACCCCTCATTTGAGGAAACCCCCACATAATTGTCCTGATATACCCCCACATACAGTATTTGTAGATAGCTGGTGGTCTAACCGGTACAGTAGCTACCATCTCATCTATCATTGACATGGAAGATCATCATTTCGAAGATCAACAACATCATTTGCGGGATTTTGCGGGTAGGTGGTGGATTTTCTTGCTACTTGGAGATCATCCCATTTAATTTCGTGGTTAATAAAGCCTGATGACCAAGATCCCTTAATTCCTGACGTCATCCCATGCTCCAGCAGGACAAGTACGGCGCGCGCATGGTGAACTTTGTACGGCTCATGGACAAGGTGAGCAAGGAGGCACCGGCTGGGATGGGTTGACTTCAGGGTGTGGCTGAACATTTCGGAATCCTTCAGCAAAAACCAGGGTTGCTGGGCAACCCCTTGGAGGTAAATGACAGCCGCACCAAGGGTAAATTTGTGATTTGACCTCTTACCCTTTTTTGCCGCCCTAAAGTTACTGGGATGTTGGGAGCAAGCCTGGTAAAAGGGTTTAAACCTTAAACCTAAACCATTTCACGGGGAGATCCTGCGGACGCAATGGTGCCGAACACATGGGGAGCTTGATTCACACGTGGATTTAGGGTACACCATTTTCAGACACACCCATATCATCTCCTCTACACACAGCGCATCATGTTATCTGCACATATATAAAAAGATGAGATGATACGTCTTGTCAAGCGGAGGTTTGCACACGTAAGACAGGTGAGATCACAGATGATGAGGAATGATAAAGAATGGTGTATCACCATGCTCAGTTTGCAGGAGTTTCGACTTTCGACCAGTGTAGATTTGGACGTTTATGTCAAAACCAGTTTGGACCCCCGAATGCACCAAGGCAACATGATACAGTTGGTTCATGAACATGGATGTACCGATGCATTTTGACTAAGAACATCTAAGAACATCTATTCAATTTGCCAAAGTTGCCTGAACCAAGCCCTGGGTTCGATGCAAACCAATTTTAGGGTTTCGGCCAATTTTGAACAGGGCTCATTGGACATCCTCGATCTCCCCTTACTTTCTGTGCATCAACATGAACACCTTGGCACAATCTTCAGGGCTTCAGGGTCAACATGACCCAACATTTTGAAGTACAGCGGAGTACTTTCAAGACCTCTCAGATCGTCTGCAAGGTGATCTTTTTTGCCAATACCCATGGACCTCTTGGTCAATGTGCTCTTCCAGTGCCTTCGATTTCATGGTTTTCATGGGAGGCTATCGGCTATCGCAACCAGGGGTCCCTTTAGATTTCCCTTAAATTTTCTGTGGAGGTGAGACATGTCAGCATGGTCTGTTTTGGTTGGCATGATTGGCCATGGCGAAGCATGGCGACGTAAGTGACAGGATGCAGGCAGATCCAAGAGCTTTGGTGAACCAAGGTCCTTTGTAAGTGACTTTGGAACAATTCTATATATACAGTTCTTGGATGGTGTAAACATGTCTAAAGTGTCAAGTGACCTCAACTTTCTCTAAGGTGTATTTATAGAACTGTGGCATGGTCCACGGACCAAGCCACCCTTTGGTATGCGAGTTTCAGCAATCAGGATGAAAAGCCCAAGGATCTGCCAGAAGGGGATCCTCTAAAACTTCCAGTACAATCTTATCAACCGAACCACCAATTTTTGACACTTTAGCCAATGATTCGATTTGCAATGATTGCCCACCTGGGCTTGTGGGTGCTGACTGGATACTTTTTTTTTCTGGATCTCAAGGTGAAAGTTGTGAAAGTCGGAGGCCCCCAAAGGAAGCAGTTTGGATCCAATGCCTGGACTCCGGATCCAAGATCCAAACAGCACTCTGCTCTTGTGCATCCTGACGGATGTCTCGCTTTAAAAAATCCGACCACGGAAGTTGGTTGCTGTAAAATACAATTGATCCATCTTTTGTATCAGGTTTGGTATCTAGCTTTCCAACATTTTCCAACAGGTTTTCCAGATCCCTCCTGCAAACTCCACGTGTTGGAACTCACCAGCCCTGGCGAGCTATCTGTTCAGCAAAGGATGGAGGCGAAGTGGCTGCGAACTACCTCAAGGCCTGACTAGGGGCTTGCTAGCTCTAGTCTGTGCTGCTGCGACATTCATGAATTTGCTATGGTAGAAATACTGTAAAATTGCAATACAAACAATATCAACCAATATATGTCTAGTCTATATACATATGTATTATAATTATAATATATATATATATGCGCATGTACATGCAAGTATATGTAATATCATATCTTTTCTGTACTTACATAGCGAATCATCATGTTGTACAGCTCCTATTTTGGTGGCTCCCTGGTCCTGCGCAAAAACCGGCGCAACAAATCCCACCAGGTCATCAACGATTTCAAGAAACCCGATGATCGCGCACCTCGGTCCGGTGGAAGGGGCGAGTTTCATGGGACCTGGGGCAGTTCATAACTCCAATAACTACAGTAGGGTTTATGGTACACTGCATATACATACATACCTACCTACCTACATACCTACCTACCTACCTACATACAGCCACATACAGCCACATACAGCCACATACAGCCACATACAGCCACATACATTATACCATATTTATTATATTTTATTATACCATATCTATAGTTACTTAGGTTTACAAAACAACTTATAACTGTGGGGGCACCACCTTATAACCCAGAGATATCTCGTCAGTGTACAGCCTTGGTTATACATAGTCTTAGGTCATAGAGAAGGTTTATGAATCAGAGTAGTTATCTATAATGTAGCCCCAGGTACACTTTTGGGTTGGTTATATTATAGGATGTGGGGATTATACGAACTCGTTTCAATATTTCAACATCACAAACTTGGAGACTGGGCAGGTTTTGGAACAGTCAGATGACGAGCGAAGGGAAAACACACGGGCGTTTGAAACTCGGTTCCTCTGGTTTAAACCAAGTCTTGCCAAATTTTACTCTCCAACAAGCGGGGGGACAACTTCTGTCTCATTTTCGCGAATTTGGAGCCTCCGAAAAGCCTGGTTCAGCCAAGTCAGCAAGCTATAAAGGTAGATGAAAATTTTATGGAGGTTTCCTAAAATGGGGGTACCCCGAAATCATCAGTTTTGATAGGATTTTCCATGATAAACCATCCATTTTGGGGTATCCCCATTTTAAAAGCACCATCAACAGATGCCACTCTGAGCTGGTCTCAGGTCGTATTTACAGGCGACTTCAATTGCGCCAGCAGTGACCCTCCATTGCAAGAGCGTCTTGGAAGCAAATACATCTATCATATATCTATGGAATGTTAATTGAATATTGGTGGTATACAAGTGGTTTATAAGCCATATATAGTTACTAAATGGTTTATAAGCAATATGGGTGTTTCCATAAATAGTGCCCCAGTTTTTTTTAGTGGAAACTCCCAAACAAAAATGGAGGATTATTCAAGGGTACCCCCATGACTTAGGAAACCTCCATATATATATTATATTATGTATGGGTTGATCTGCCTCAAGAATTGATGAAGAGTGAGGTATTTCTGTTTGATCTTTGTGGCTTCACCTTGGTGGCTGAGCTGTAGCGATTCATTAGCTATGATACATTGGGGAATACGAATTATACAAGTGATTTTTGGTTGGCTATCCAAGATGAAGCCAATTTTTTTTCCAGGAGATCAATTGAGCCAAAATTAAGATACCTCTACTGGATAGGTGGTTTTACTAGCGAAAAATAGTTTCTTGGCGATTTTTCGCCCAGAAAAGGGATACCCTCCAGTACCATCCAGTTTTTGATGGGATAAGCTCGTTTTGCTCAAAGTCTGAGTGCCAAGCAATTCACCTTTTAGGTGACCCAAGTGCAAATCCCCAGAATTTCTGGAGATCTACATTCTATTCTCAGAGTGTATATATGGAAGAATGAGGGAGTCCAACCAGTTTCTTACCCTTTCCCAACCAGTTCAGCGTTGCGGGCAGTCCACCTGAGATTGGGCAAAGTGCTACAAAGCTCGGCCACAGACTTCTCCTTCGGCCGGGGTCACCCAGGGATGGTGGGTGGCCAGGGATGGCTATGGATAGTAATCCCATATATAATTCCCAGAAGAAACCCCCTCCTACAACTTCCAGGAAAAAATAAAGGGCTCCAAACCACCCGTCTTCCGTACTTCTCAGGTGGTGCTGATCATATCCTGACAGGTGGGGTCGATGGTTTTTTTTGTTCGATCGCCCCCCCTGGAAATCAAGGCTGACTCCCATCCTCCTGTGCTGCTGGTGGCCCCGCAAATCACTTTATGTTTCATGGTCGAGTCAAAGATGTCAAAGCCAAATGTCCTGGTTGAAATCACCTGCACTGGTTTTTTATCATGTCAACTTCCACATTTTGAATCTGGTTGGTGGTTTCAAACATTTTTTCATTTTCCATAATATATATATATATAATATATATATGGGATAATCCTTCCCATTGACTCATATTTTTCAAGATGGTTAAAAACCACCAACCAGAGTGTCTTGATGGCACAGTGGCAATTTCTGATGGCAAAACCACCAAGCCAGGACCAGAGGTCAAGACCTGCGCATCAGAAACACAGCAAGGCTTTCCTTCGGACCATCAGATCCTGCACCTCGGCCGGCAATGCCCGGTGAATGATGGACATTTTCCCATGAAAAAATGGACGATGAAAACCGTGGAAACCATGGTGGATGTAGTGGATTGGGACCATGATTTACACATATTTTAAGGGACCATCCATTGGAGGCTGTTGAATCTTCAATACTCAGTTCAGGCCAAAAAAATCATTAAGACAAGAAACTGCCAACGAGATTTCAACTTCTTCAGATGGTTTATAGTTCGAATTATGACCATCATGGAAGATATGGAAGGGGGTTTCCATAAATGGGGTTACCACAATAGCTGGATGGTTTATCATGGAAAGTCCCAGACAAAAATGGATGATTTGGGGGTACCCCCATTTCAGGAAACCTCCATTGCTAAAAGACGATTTTTTTCTGTTGGTGGTTGAGATCCATGGGATAGTTGGGTGAATTTTCGCTGTGAGAGTTGGGATTTGTCTGAGGCATAGAAGAAGTGGATCATGAGCCACCCGCAGCTGGCATAAGATATATATATATAATATTATAATATTTTATATTGTATATATATATATAATTATATGGATAAATAAATAAACAAATACATATATATATATATTAATAGTATGTATATTATACTGTATGTTTTTGTATGCATGTTATCGTACTGCAAGTCATCAACCATGAATCCCAACTTCAAGTATCATTCTTGTGGGCTACAGAGGGCCACCCAACAGATCCCAACACCGAGAACTGTCCGATCAGGGTCCCACCCTTTTCAACCCTTCTTCTTCATGAAGGGTATTTCTTTTGCTGGACCAAAAGCCATTCTGGTTCAATATCTTCCTTGATTTGCTGAATCTCCTGCCCGCCCATCCCAATCTTCCCAAAGTCGATGCCTGTTGACCAGCTGCGAGGAAGCTGACCGTGTCGGTGAACGAACACCAGGTGGACAATGACGTCGCCGCCCCGCCCGCCGCGTCCGTGACCCCAGCTGCGCCAGCCCCAGCCGCAGCTGCTGCGCCAGCGCCGACTCCAGAGGGCGCGACGGGAGCGGAAGTGAAGGACCCTTTGTTGCTTCTTTTGGTTTTGTTTTGGTTTTATTGCGTTGTTCCTTTCTTTTTCCAGAATGCCCCCCAAAGCTTCTGCATTTCTTTTCATATGTTGTTTGTTTTGTTTTCTCGAGGTTTGTTTGTTTTTGCCAGACTTGGAGCCCCCAAAACTTCTGGAAAATGGTATCATGGGGGTGGCAATTGACAGATGACATTGGCAAGATGACCGAGGTAGGTTCCAAGGGGGGAATGGCACCCCTTTCTAACCATAACAACTGTAGATCTTGGGGGGCGCCATATGTGTGTATACTGTAATATACACATATGAATATTAATTACTGTATATACAAACATGGTATTTATTTGCAATCACATGCATGCATCCATATTATATATAATATGTATAATTAATTCTTCAATGTATACACGCATAATCATATATACATCCATTTTATCTTCTTATGTAAGTAGTATAGGCATAGGCCTATATCATCTAATTACACATATTTGATTTTATTTGAACCTAGTTACACACCCATGCTTTCCATTGGTTCAATGCATGGTACGTTTTTTGGACCCCTTCCGGTTTGACGGTCTGCTTCAGGATTCAGAGGGTTGTCCCAAGACGCTTGGCCTCCACATTGCATCCGGAAATTCGCGTGGCGAAGCGCACCAGGGTGTGTTCGGTACTTTGCAGATTGGAACATGGTTTACCCCAGTTACAGGTGGGTTATCAACCCTTTTTTCGCCGTATCGGTCATTTCCTCATGTCAACCTGAACGGCAACCAAACCATGAGACTTGACCCAGGGCCGGTGAGTCCTCTCCATGCTGCGTTGCTTGCTTCTTGGATTCAGCATGATTCTACTGGGTGCCTGATATTGGGTGGATAAAAAAAACTGTGAACCAAGGTTGTGACATTGAGTTGACCTAGACTTAGTCAGATTTCGGTCGGGATATCCATGGATATCAGTCATCCTTACCGGTTGCCACCCATTCTGGATCATCCCAGTGTGCCTCCGACAGGTGCTTCCCCCTTCTACTGTCCTGACAACAAGGGATGCTACATGCAGGGGGCTTCTGGATGCCCAGGCGTCATGGCTTCATGGCTTCATGGCTTCATGGCTTCATGGGTCAACAGATGTCAACAGTCAACAGGTCATGGCCTGTGTCAGAGACACAAATACGGATCAACCATTTTTAAGCATTTTGAAGCATCATAGCCATTCATTTCCAACATTTTCCAACTTGGATCCCCTAAGTGGACCATTTTCTCATGGGGTCCTCAGTCAGGGCAATCATGAACATCCCGAACATGAACCAACCAAGATGCAGGATATCAACCAGGATACCGGGATGAGATGGGCAAAGCCACCAGGTGATCCATTCACACCTACTCGTAGAAGCTGCCAATTGCCAACCACAACCCAGTCCCTCTTCCATCTCTTCCATCTCCAAGTTATTTTTAAGGATCCCAATATGTAGTTTGACATAGCTTGACATCTCAATCATTATTACCCTCTGGTTATTTAACAGTTCGCCATGGTATAGATGGCCCATAGAAATAGATGGTTTACCCATTAAACATGGGTGGATCTTTCCATGGCTATGTTAAATAACCAGATGGTAATGATTATTTATTGTCTACTTAGTCTACTTTATATTGTGGATGATCCCAACTGACTTTCCCAGCGGGATGGGGCGGCCCAACATTTTGCGATGGCGCCCTGTGTCAGGTGCCTTATGTCCTTTGAAGGGGCCGATTCACACCTGATGGGCATAAAAACACGGCGCTGGTTGTGGCTCAGGGGTGTCAAAGTGAGTTTTTTCCCAGAAACCGGGAGATGAATAGCAATGAATCAATGTATAATCAATGTTATATAATGTTATAATGTTCTATCATGTTCTATATATAGAGATATATGCAGAAAGCACCGGAAAGATTGAGAAGTGTGATTTATCACTGAAATTAAGAGGTTTTTTGCTTTTCCATCTTTTTTGAGGGTTACTACTTATGTAATTAGATATGTTAAACACAATATGCAATCTTTTGTATTCCATTGAGACAGTGGCTCCACGTCTTCTTTTCCCAGCAGTTTGATAGCTCGGAATCTAATGGGCTCCGAAGAAACAGTGAAGAAGCAGAGTTGTTCAATACGGTATACGTTCGTTGTGTCAACATGTGCTTGAAATACGGTGTCACTATGTGTCACATTGTTGAGATATTACATGTTTTGAGAAATGTCTAATCGTAAGGTGATTTTGACATGTTGTCTGTTACTTTTGGCCCGGAGTTCCGGCAAGTGGAATGGAGCCGCGGTCCTACTCTGCGATGTCTCAAAGTAAGACGGCTATCTACTGATGACTGGAGCATGTTTCTCAGTCGACTTTGCCAACGCAAACCCTGGGAGGCGCAACAAAGCCACGACTTAGATTTGCTGAACATGATGTCTCATTCTCCTGCGTTTTTCAGTTGCTTAGTCAACCATTTGTGGGGATCCATCAGACATATACTTTTTCCACCAGCAGAGTATTTGACGACGCAATCCTCGGGACTTCGGGATCCAGGGATGTTATTCCGACTTATTCCGACTTGCATTACCTGGGTTTTGTAGGCATGCAAAAGGATTTGTCAAAGAATCCCTTTCATTCCCATTTTGGGAATACCCAAAAGCATCACAAAATGGGTAAAACAATCATGAACCATCCCCCAAATCACCACAACTAGGTGCTATAAACCATTCTCAAATGGGTGGTTTATGGCATTGTTTTACCCACATTACGGATGCCAGGATCTGCAGCCGATAGAGCCCTTGATGTCTGAAAGTAGACATGGCAGACACCTGGAGGGAATCTCAATATTGGAACTCATAGAACTGGTGTGTATAATATATATATATATAAATTATAATTATATATATATATATTAGTAATATTGTATTTATATATGTTATAATGTATATATATATATAAAACGTAGATGGCATACATAGAATACAGAATCGATAATTTCGGCCTCCAGAAGCATCTTCCGGAATCGGTTAAAAAAACCTATACATAGAATAAAAGCATCTTCCGGAATCGGAAAAAAAAAACCTATACATAGAATATTTCCGGCTATCCATTTTGATCCGGGAAAATATTTTTTCCTCAGGTTTTGCTGGATTTCTGCAGCCGCCCGTGATTCAAGTATATGTTCACTGGGGACCTATATTCTATGTATGTAGTTCTGCAAGGAATTGGGTTTCTTTCATGTATAAGGGTATATATCATATATGTAATTCCCTTTGGCAAGTAGCAACCCTGGATGTCTGAAGTTCCTAAACTACAACGTTTCAACAAACAAACAGGTCACCCGAAATGACCTATTTCTTTTTAAATTAAAAAAATGAGTTTTTCAGGCTCACCGAAGGGTACCCCCCACGACTGGTGTCGTAGAACTATGAAAAAAAAAACATTTTGCAATGAAAACCAATGGAATTGGGTGGTGATCCTCAAAAAATTGATGAATATTTTCACTGGGGACGTATATTCTATGTATGTAGTTCTGCAAGGAATTGGGTCTCTTTCATGTATAAGAGTATATATCATTTATGTAATTCCCTTTGGAGAGTAGCAAACCTGGATATCTGAAGTTCCTAAACTACAACGCTTCAACAAAAAAACAGGTCACCCGAAATGACAAATTTCTTTTTATATTGTATTAAAAAAATGAGTTTTTCAGGCTCACCGAAGGGTACCCCCCACGACTGGTGTCGTAGAACTATGAAAAAAAAACACTATTTTGCAATGAAAACCAATGGAATTCGGTGGTGATCCTCAAAAAAATGATTCATATGTTCACTGGGGACCTATATTCTATGTATGTAGTTCTGCAAGGAATTGGGTCTCTTCCATGTATAAGGGTATATATCATATCCGTAATTCCCTTTGGCAAGTAGCAACCCTGGATGTCTGAAGTTCCTAAACTACAACGTTTCAACAAAAAAACAGGTCCCCCGAAATGACCAGTTTCTTTTTGTATTGTATTAAAAAAATTAGTTTTTTAGGCTCACCGAAGGGTAGAACTATGAAAAAAAAATATTTTGCAATGAAAACCAATGGAATTGGGTGGTGTTCCTCAAAAAATTGATGAATAGTTTCACTTGGGACCTATATTCTATGTATGTAGTTCTGCAAGGAATTGGGTCTCTTCCATGTATAAAGGCCTTATAAGGGTATACATTATATACGTAATTCCCTTTGGGGAGTAGCAACCCTGGATGTCTGAAGTTCCTCAACTAGAACATGTCACCAAAAAAAACGGGCACCCCGAAATGACAAATTTATTTTTATATTGTATTAAAAAAATGAACTTTTCAGGCTCACCGAAGGGTACCCCCACGACTGGTGTCGTAGAACTATGAAAAAAAAACACTATTTTGCAATGAAAACCAATGGAATTCGGTGGTGATCCTCAAAAAAATGATTCATATGTTCACTGAGGACCTATATTCTATGTATGTGGTTCTGCAAGGAATTGGGTCTCTTCCATGTATAAAGGTATATATCATATATGTAATTCCCTTTGGAGAGTAGCAACCCTGGATGTCTGAAGTTCCTAAACTAGAACGCTTTAACAAAAAAACAGGTCACCCGAAATGACCAATTTCTTTTTATATTGTATTAAAAAAATGAGCTTTTCAGGCTCACCGAAGGGTACCCCCCACGACTGGTGTCGTAGAACTATGAAAAAAAAACTATTTTGCAATGAAAACCAATGGAATTGGGTGGTGTTCCTCAAAAAATTGATGAATATTTTCACTCGGGGACCTATATTCTATGTATGTAGTTCTGCAAGGAATTGGGTCTCTTTCATGGATAGGGGTATATATCATATATGTAATTCCCTTTGGGGAGTAGCAACCCTGGATGTCTGAAGTTCCTAAACTACAACGTTTCAACAAAAAAACAGGTCACCCGAAATGACAAATTTCTTTTTATATTGTATTAAAAAAATGAGTTTTTCAGGCTCACCGAAGGGTACCCCCCACGACTGGTGTCGTAGAACTATGACCAAAAAACTATTTTGCAATGAAAACCAATGGAATTGGGTGGTGTTCCTCAAAAATCTCAAAAAAATGATGAATATTTTCACTTGGGACCTATATTCTATGTATGTAGTTCTGCAAGGAATTGGGTCTCTTCCATGTATAAGGGTATATATCATATCCGTAATTCCCTTTGGCAAGTAGCAACCCTGGATGTCTGAAGTTCCTAAACTACAACATTTCAACAAAAAAACAGGTCACCCGAAATGACCAGTTTCTTTTTATATTGTATTAAAAAACTGAGTTTTTCAGGCTCACCGAAGGGTACCCCCCACGACTGGTGTCGTAGAACTATGAAAAAAAATTACCCAGAACCCAAAAAATGTTCAATCTGCTGGGTTTCACACATGTTTTCGATATGGGAATATCGTTATTCCTATGGTATTTGCTTTGGCACTGTTTATGCACTCCAAAATTCTACCCCAAATATTTCTACACCAAATATTCTAAGTTTTTTTTTTCCGTCCACACCCGTAGGGTTGAAATCGGGCGTATTCTAAGTAGGCGATCATGGTTATATATATATATATAATTTGTGTGAGGAGGTGCAAGGATTTTGCACCCAACCAGCGGATTCCTACATTTGACTCATAGGTGGAAATTGGGTTCTCGCAGGGTATCAGGAATCATGATTTATGACTAACACTCAATACATGTTAATACCATAATATTAAATTATATTTATCAATATTGAATCATGATCTCGCGCAGGGTATAATGATGCCGCTATGTTGCGACAGAGGAACAAAAATAGTCTGTGAACAGATCAAACGATCTGGTGCATTTCCCCACAGACGTTTCGTCAGGGCGCTTCTCGGTAGTGCTGTCCCCCGAAATCGGGCTGTGTCAGTACCTGCGAACTGATCGTTTGGATTTCAGCTGGAAAAAGAATGGGTCAGTGCCGTGCGGGATGGGTTGGTGTCATGGTAGAACCCAGTGGTTCTCATTTTTGGAGTTCTGAATCTGGAATTTTTTCTCTCAATTACTTGAAACGCTATGGCAAAGATCAGGAAAGGGATAAGTTGCGATCGTCCACCGTTGAATGGAGGTCCGAATCTAAATCACCGTTCCCATTGCAATGGTGAATATGTTGACCGGCATATTCATAGGTTGTATGTGTGCCCCATATTCATACCTCACTGGATGCACAATTGTACTTGTACAAACATATATAATTTGCAACCCCGAATCATTAAGCTTTTAAAACATCATGAGGGTCTTCCCCAAAATGTGATAAACATACAATGTGGGGATTTCCCAAAAAGGGGGTATATCCCCCCCAATATCCATTTTTCTTTGGGATGTTCCAGCCAAGAAACCATCTATTGGGGCCAGCCCCTACCGAGGTGACTCGCCATGGCACTTTGCGCATGGAACCCGTGTGCAACGAGGATGATGAGATCTGCGAAGTGCTGGAGGTGTCGCAAGACGAGTCGGGATCCCCTTGGCGTTTCAAACGGCAGTGTCATGCTTTTTTTTCTCCATGAAGTATGGTGATTTAATGTGATTCAATGGTGATCTAATGAATCTAATGGTATGAACGGTGATCTATAAAAAATATGTTATATTAATATTATTGTTTGTTTGTATATCTGGGATTTAGCATTAGCATGATTTAACAATCAAACCAGAGATTTAACTGGACCCATGAACAATGCGGATTCAATCATCAAAAGTTAGGATTTAATCTGAATCGCTCCGTTTGCACAGAAATGGGGAACTGCAGAATCAGATTGAGCTACTAATTGCACTATCTGGGTTTTATGTGATACATAAGGATAGCATCTATAGTACATGGAGTATCCATATTTTTACTGGCTCGTGTAATTTGCGATCATGTCAACCCTGGACTAGTAACCCCCTGGGTCGTAGAGTTGCGGGAGTAGCATTCAAATAGACCTTTATATTATTTTAATACTATCTTTTACTTGTTTTTTTTGTACTTTCTGAGGGGGGTGCCCGACTGAAACGACCAGGCTCCAAATACACTACTTTCTGTGGGGGGGTACCCGTACCATTCCTAAACCATCCCCTCAGTAGTAAAGATCTACTATGTGGGACCCCAACCCATGGGGAGCTGTCCCACATATCCTTTGGGGACAGAGCCACTGAACATGGGAATTGGACAATATCAATCAAATCAACATGGGGATACAACCAAGTGGTAGTTTTGGGGACATATTCCACATCAACCAACAACAATCAACATCCGAAAAAACAAATCACATGATCGGTATTACTGGTGACCCGTGGGCCCGCCGTGGTAAAAAAAACATCAACAGTCCAGGAGACGAAGATGCAAACAGAATGATTCCTGAGTTCCTTTCTGGGGGATTCCACAGTCAGGATTTTGACTCGTATCCCAGTGAGATGGTGCAACAAAATGCTATAAAAACAGCTGGCGTATCGGCCATTTTTTAGTGGATCTCTGAGGTATGCCAGACTAAACCTGCCAATATCACTAGTGAACAGAATTTCGATGTACCTGCCGGGCAACATGCGATTGCCTGCCGGGTTTCAACATAGTGCAAAATGTTGTGCAACACATCAGTGGAATCTCTTTGCTGGGTCCACATTTTTGATGCTGTGGCACCAGGGACAGCGGCAAAATCAGCTGGAGAGCGAGAACGAGTGGCTTGCCGATTTCCGTGAGGGCTGAATTGACTGGTGAGCTTCTGACTATCACTGTAGTACACCATCGGAAAGCTTGATTTGATATTTTTTTGTCGATCTGGCTGACGAGAAACTGGTTTAGTTTCATGTAAATTGTAACTTTCCTTATCTATTTAAGAAAGCCAATTTTGGGTTTGAATTGCTCTCAATGAGCTTAGAATCGGATTTAGATTCGAACTGACTTTGCATTTCGACTTGACTTGGAATCGGAATCTAAACTGATTTGCATTTAGATTTGAATTGATATTGAACCGAAATTGAGTTGAGTTTGCCTTAACTGTAAACCTGGAATCTAAGCTGGTTCAAAATTTGACAAGATTTTCAGGGTCCCAAAAGCCAAAGAACTTTGTTCCTGGACAACCCCCCTTGTGCGGGTGTTTGGGAGCTATACTGAAACAAGAGTTCATTAAGAAAGCTGCGCTTCATGATCTGAAGGTTCTTTGAAGCCAGAAAATCAACAACATCCAAAAAAAGCAAGAACAACATGAACAAACACAGAGAAAAGTTGGCAGACTTTGTCTGGGCGGAGTTATGGCTTACATGTCTGACGACCGCCATCAGGGCGTATCGTGTCTCCAAAGCGTGGACCGAAGGCGCGGAAGTGACCACAACGTGAATGGTTTCACCATTGCGGCAATCCAAATGGGGGTTTCCGAAAATGGGTGTACCATGGTGTACCCCAAAATGGATGGTTTACAATGGAAAATCATGGAAAATCCTATTATAAATAAAATGGAAAGCCTCATATCTTCACCAGGTAGGGAATTGGGCCAGTAGCACATTTCATTTTCCGTTGTGGGATAGAACAAGTTGGAGGTCATGTAGGTTTATGGGACCAAATGTCCACAAAAGAACGTTGGGAGCTCCCAGGAACACGGCGAGTGGAAAGCCACGAAATATCAGTGATCCGCCATCATGAGGTGATATGTTCCAGTGCTCAATCCTCCCTGGTCCTTGGTCACTCACATGGCCATTACATCAGGACTTTCTGCTTTGAAACGCCTGAGCCATGGGCATGTAAAGTACACCCCATCAAGTGGGCTGCTGTGATTGACCCTCAGAAGTGGTGTGAAACTCCCTGTGTTTCCGTGAATTTCCCATGCGGCCTGTTAACCCCAATCATTCCTGGTGATATCCCAACATTCTGCCCATTCGTCTGTGGCCAGCATCATCGACATTGAAATCTTTGACTCATGATAAACTATATAAACCACACCAGAACTCTAAAATCATGATTTATATGATTTGGTCAAACATCGGGATATCCCATGATGTGTTATTTTTTCCCATCACATGATTTTTTTACCATATAAAAGTAGCATATTCCATGGATTTTCCCATGGATTTTCCATGGATTTCCAGCGGCTGGGAGGCACCTGGGCCGCAGATTGGGGCCCCGGAGGTCCCACCTGGCCCTCCCTGGTCCCCGATGCCTCGCCCATGCGGAGGAAGGTGCCGAAACGTGCCTTGGCGCCACGGAAGTTGACACCGGGATGGTGAGATTCCCCAAATGTTTGTTAAAAATGGGGGATATGTATGTATGTATATATATATATATATAAATACACATATAATATATATATATATACATACACATATTATATATACATATATATAATATATATATACATACACAGAGATTGTTTATATATATATATATATTTGTTAACATTTACTGTAACCATAGTCCCGAGAATCATATATTATTATGTATAATAAGTATTATAATATTTAGTGGTTAATGGTTTATAATTATCATCATCCCTAATAATACAATGATCATCATCCCCATGTTTCTTGGTTTTTCTGTGGGGGCTTTCAAGAAACGAATTCGGATGTTTACAGCTATTTTGCTGTTCACCAGGGGTACAAGGTTTTGACACACTGCCATATTAATTTATAGATTTAACACGTCCCCGATGCTTGGGGGATAACCCGGATGTTTTGTAAATGGACTGTATCCCAACATTAACCACTGGGGTGATCCTCCTTTTCTGGAGTGTCACCAGAAAAAATCCAAAAGGGTCTACCGGGTCTACGGTCTGTAGGTTTTCAGATACATTTTCAGGAAAAACGCCTGGCAATAGAGGGTCTCAATACTTTTCACATCAACAGATACGTGACATAGCTGGTTCATCAAAAACAATCCATCCCCTCGGCCGAATTGGATTGTATGGAAAATGGCCCGTTTGTAGATGAAGACTTACAAAAATTGATTATGTATATATTTTTGTATTGATAGAAATATCCCATGATATCCACATTGATATTCCATTAAATTCCCAGATCTCATCTTCCGTATAGAAAAAACTCCCTGAGGAGCCGATACGTTGCGCGCGGCAACTCAGGAGGTTTTCACTCGAGAGCATACAGAGACACACGTGGTATAGGAGGGCTGCGGAATGTGTTGCGCTATTATGAGGATTGTTGTTATGATGCTGAATATATCTGAATATTATTGTTAATTATATATTGTTACTCATTATATCACCAATTACTCTTTATTACTATCATAGTTGTTATAACTATATATATATATATGTACAGTATATATATATAAGTGTATATAATAATAATTATTATGTTCAATGAGTCTAGTATTTTCCTACCATTATTGTTACTAATTATTGATGTTTTTGCCATGCCGATGATGATGATGATGATGATGATGATTGTGATGATGATATTTTATTTTTCCGGTAGCGACAAGCAGCATTGCGTCAGCAATTGGAGAGAACTGAAAACAAAAGACAGCACAATGTCCAAAAAGGAGAAACTGAGCTTTGGAATAACGCACTCACGAGCACCTTATACACGGGACCCAGTGGAACGAGCAAGGTGGAACCCATACCACCGACAGAAAGAATAAAAAAGGATGAGGAGAGAACAACAAACAACTAAAAACATTGGTCCCGTGACGCACTGCAGGGTTCGTGACCACTAGTCACTAGTCTCTCTCTTTGGAGAAAATGTGGATTAAAGGAGACAATGGTCCCTAAGGAGTGACGGTGGTCTCCCGGCAAGCCGCTCAAGCTTTAGCCATGGAAAGCGGAGCCAGTGTGGCTTGAAAGAGTTGTAGTGTATTAACCCCCAAAAATGCTAGTACTGTTGACGGCTGATGACAAAAAGGGGAAGTCGTAGAAGACTTCTCCATGAACAGTATTGGATAAGGGAAGGTGGAAGATGGCGCCTTGGCGTTGGAGATATCAAAGGCCTTGCCACATGAGAATTGAAAGGCGGTGGTTCGATCTATGGCTGCCCGAGAGAGAGAGAGCGAGAGAGAGCTTGGATGAATTGGTTGGCCAATTGTCCTAATGTCTTGGAGATACTGGCTGATGACAAAGATGACACGCACACACACACACACAGATCTTCTAAGGAATTGAAGGTCCAAGATGTAGGAGACCTGTGCCAGAAGGGAAGTAGAAGAAGCAACCTTGTTTGGCCAAATCTCCTGGGCCTGGGTATTGATTGTAGCTGGCCCCTTGGGCCTTTCTCAGCATCTGGCAGGAGAGATCGAATGAGCACCAATAGAGTGTAGAAAGGTTGCTTTGCAAGTCTGTCACTTGTGAGGAGTCTGGTTCTCCTTTGACCTTGTGTTTTCGTCTGTTGATTCCCCATTCTAGTTTGTTCTGTTTGATGTACTGATGGAATTTTGTCTTGATTCTGTGCGAGGAATTCGACTCTGAGGATGCTGGAGTTGGAGTGAATGCCATGGTTGGTCATAGAGGATATTGAATCGAAAGGTACTTGAGCTTGTTCACAAAAGTAGTTGGGATTCCAATCAAGGTTGTACTTTGCAAAGCCTGTGGCTGGAATCCCTTGAGAAGTAAGAATTTGTTTCCAAGTCGTGCTTCCGCAGTCTCGAGACTGGTGTCGATGGTTTCGGTCTGTATTTGGGTGTAGTACTGCTCGAGAATGGTGTTGGAGTAAAACTGTTGCAAGGGTCGATGGGGAATGTATGATTGAGTAAGAAGGTTGACTGGATGTATTGAATCATTGTGTCTTTGATTTGAGATTCCTGGATTTCAAGTGTTGGGGGTTCTATGGAATGGATGTCTGTGAATGGTCACTTCTTGGTGAGATCAAGCTTCTGTAGTTTGCTCTGCCATGGGTCATAATGTAGGGTGTCTGGTGTAGTCAGGTTCGGTGCCGGAAAGTCTGATCGAGCTTGAGGAGAAGATCGATGTTCCTGCTGAATTCCAAGATCGAGGTCAGAGAGTTCGAGAGAGCATCTAAGAATTCTTCCCAACCTGGTTCTGTTCTAGACTTCTTTGTAGGAGAAGCCTCTCTGGTTGAGGCTCTGTGTCTCCTGATGAGTTCAAGTTCTTCTGCTGTGAGTTCAGTTGTAGTCGATGATGTAGAAACACCTGGAGGAGGACCAGGTTGTTCAGAAGCATCTTGAGAGTAAGGCTGCTTCACATGTTCCATGGTTTCAACGGATGTATCTTCAATAAATGTGTCTTCAAGTGTGTAATGGAAAGCAAAGAACGAAAATAGGGGACAGCCAAATCAACACGTTGCAGTTGAAAAAGTAAAAGGTAGGGGGAAGAAATGAAAGGTTCAACTGCGGGGGCTTGCAGTGTCATGACAACCTGGCTGATGTGGTGGCAAAAGCTAAAGTTCGTGCCATGCCTTGATGATGATGGGCATGGATATTGTTAGTTGTTGTACTTTGCAAACAATAGTAGATGAGTACGATTGTTATTTCTTGTGGTTGATGGTTGATGTTTGAGGTTTGATGCTGATATATATATATACACATATACACATATACACATATTTACATATATACATATATACATATATACATATATACATATATACATATATACATATATACATATATACATATATACATATATACATATATACATATATACATATATACATATATACATATATACATATATACTTATATACATATATACATATATACATATATACATATATACATATATACATATATACATATATACATATATACATATACATAGACATGCATTGTTTGAAACAAAATCAACCGCAACACACACACACACACGTAGTAAAATTGACGCAAATTGCATGGACAGATAGCATGGCGCGCTGATGCGCACAAATTGAGAGAAACAACAGCTGGCCCTTTGTCCATGCCTGACCAAACCAGCCATCCAACCAAGCAACATAGACTATCTGGAAACTAAAACTTGGAACCCAACGGTGGTTTGTCTACAAAGAAAAATCAAAGCTCAAACCCAAACGCTTCCATGTCGTTTCGCGGAAAGTAAGATGACATGAATGGTTCAGTTTTTTTGCTTGCACCAGGCATGCGCAAATGGATCATGGGGGTTGGCCGCCATTTGAATGGCAACTTTCATCACATTCCAGGGGTTACGAGACTTCGGGCCATCAGCCTATCTACATGATGTTCAGGATTTTCATATTTTCATGGTTTTCAAAATTCAACTGAATTTAAATAAAAAATTGGAATCATTAAAAACGATCATGATATATCATGATAATGATACAGTACGATCAAGTGTGTAAGGACACAACCGACTTGCCATACTTTGGGCACACCAACTTGAAATCAAGGAACTAGTCGTTGGGTCACCTCCACTGCTTCCAAGGCTTTGACGACCCCTTAACAAGTCAAACCATCTTCCGCGTCGTGTTGCCTACCGTAGGGGTACGGGCCCCAGGATCTTCCAGGGACATGGTGGGAGATGAACAAGATGAACATTCACCTTCTCAGGAATATGGTGATACATGCCACCGTTAATATCGGTGATGTACACTATTGGTTACTTCATATATATATATTACTTCATACACAATATACACTAATGAAGCCGTCATTGTTGTCGTACTACCTCACCATTCCTCTCTATGAACATCTCCAAATTCCTGGGGGACTCAGTTGTAATTCGGAAGGCTCTCCTTGGCGGTGCCGCGATCTACGGTCCAAGCTGCCTGTGGTTGCAGGCAAGGGCCTGGCATGTGGAAAATGGACAATTTTTAGTTCGATGATTTACCTATAAACATGGACAAAAATGGCAATTTTGTATATCTATAAGTCTATATAGGTTAAATGATCCGAGTGTACCTTTCAATCGACACACACAAATAAACATTTATATAGATACATTTCATAATTTTAATCGTCCCCCCAACTAACATAGACCCTGAGAATCCTTACTTTTTAGAGGAAAGTAGTCTTCCAACTCCCAATTCATGGCAGGTTTTTTTTTTCAAATTTCTGGCGGCAGTTGCGCAGTTGCCCAGGACAATCTGGACACTGGAAATACCGGTCGCGGGCCAATCTTGTCGGGAGTCTAAGGGCGGATCCTGGGAGATGTGCCAAGCTCTGTAGGATGGATCACCCCATTGCCTTCTCTGGGATGGTTGGAAAAATTTCAGCTTCTGGAAGAATCCCTTTTTGGTTGAGAACTGTTGAGAAGGTTTCCCATATTTGATTAATTACGATCAGTTAGTATAACCCATAGAATCTGACAGCTATTTCTGGCCGAAATCCACATTGTTGCTGGTTGGTACCCAAGCTTCTTTTGTGGTTGAATCACAATTCATGGTACTGACCAGAAGATATCGGCGTCAACTTCGCACTGCTCAGCTGTGAAAGTACTAGGTGCCGGCAGATTGATCCCACAAGAGAATCACCTGTAGTTTGCCAGAGGGGAACTCATTCAAATTATCGATCAATGGCGCCGTCTTCATGGATTTTCCAAGTGCATGCCCACCTTTTTGCAAAAGGTGCGTTGCCCCCGAAATAGCCTGCTGCATAGTTGGCTGGTTGGTGCTTCCAAATATATTTGTATACAATTGTGTATATATGATGCCGGTCCCCAGTTCGCTAGCCCCCCCCCAGTGGTATGGTCCCCCCAGTGGTAAGGTTCCCCTCGTGGTATGGTCCCTCCCTAGCACGTGACATGGTGTTAGTACGATATATGCAGCCCCGCCTACATGTTTCCTCTACATGCTGACCATTTCATTGCTATGTTCGACTAACGCGCGATAGCGCCCGGTCAGCACGGTGGACATATCTATATGTAACTCCACTTACATGTTTCCGCTACATGCCTTTACATTTTTCCCCTACATGTTGCCCATGTAATTGCTATACTCAACTAGCACGTCTTTACCTACATTTTCCGCTGCTAGCACGGTTTGCACATCTATATGCAATGCCAATGGATGACGACCACACCACACCACAGGGGGGGAGCAGGGGTTCTACCAGGGTAGCATGTCAATGGATGACGACCACACCACACCACAGAGGGGGGAGGGATGTGACGACCACACCACACCACAGGGGGAGGGGGGGTATCACCAATAGGGGGGGGGGGGGGGTATACCAGGCTACCATGACCATGGGGGGGCGCTAGAACCTGGAACATATATATATATATATATATATATATATATGTAATTATATATAATTGCACATATTTATGTGATATAATATAGTTACATATACGCAGATATACACATGACTGATTAATAAAACTACATTATATATATATATGTATATACATACATCATATGTGATAATAATTGATAATATATATACGTATACAATGATACGCATATCATTAGTAAAACTATATCATATTTTATTTAGATATATAGATGTATATGTATCAATGGAACAGGCCAAAATCACACACTGATCCCCTTGGGCTCCAGGCAGTTGCTTGCCATGGACCAATCGCAGTTCATGCAGAATTTCTTGCGCCTTGGTCATGGCTGGTCATGGCAAGAACCAACGACTGGTCATTGGCAATTCTGGGATATCCAATGACCGGATCAAAAATATTATGTACCCTAGGGGAAACTCACAAACTCATGTGGAATGGCGCCATGGTTTTTCCCGGAAAATGATCTACAAACTTTGTGGTTTTTCCAGATCTATGATAGTTTACCCTCAGATAATATCCAGATAATCAGGGTTGACATTTACAGAACAGGGGTGGGGCATAATATGGTGTATGCTCCCTTGCAAACCACAGCCAATACATTTTTGGAGGTTTTTGTTCCCAATGGGGGATGCCCCAATATTGTAAGATTAACCCCGTTAGTATTGCAATTTTGGCAAACTTAAGCAGCCCAAGATTTGGACAACATCCATGTAGACTAGTGCGACAGGAACAAATATGGAAGCCGGAAGGTGATGACTTCAAGGAATTACCTTTGGAGAGATTTGGTTATATATTTGTTTGGTGGAAAGGAGGGAGCTGAGGACTTCCTGGTATCTATATTCCGTATTCCATCCGGAGCCAAGGGTTCACTACAAAAAAATGGGGGATGAAGTGGTCCCTGGCAACCTTTTTCTCTGAACAAAAACTCTTCAAGTGGGGCAGAAGGACCTAAACATGATGTTGAACCTAGCCGCCATTTTGGGTTTTTTGTTCTTTATAGGATATCTGGGCCCGAGAAATGCAGTAATGCACTAATCATTTGTAGACACCATCAGGGTTACAAGGGGGGAACCCACCCTTAAATTGCATCACCGTTTTTGGATATACTTGAGATGGTTTACTGCTGAACTTGCGATGATCAATGGAGAATTTCATGGTGATACACTGGAGTTTAGAATCAGAACTCTTCGAGAATGGCAGACTGGGATGGGGATGGACATGTTTTGAACTGCCCTTAGATCCATGCTGTGGGCCGTAGATCTTGATCCATCCCTGTATCAGACACGTCCAAACTTCCATGGATCAATGGATCAATGGATCCCAGAATGGGGTTTGAAAGTCGACAGGAACATGGACAACTCATAAAGGCTCTACATGTCGTAAAGCTCGTAAAAGAAATACGTATGTTTACGTTTCGCTTATCCCCTGTATTATCTGTTGAGCCACCGATCCGGAAATCCCCTGACCTGAGGACGGTGAACGGTTTGTTATTCACCATCCTCTGTGGCAACTTGGGCTTTGGTGGCTGGTGGCTGGTGGGTGGGTTGCTGGTAGGTTGCTGGTAGGTAAGCTGGTAGGTTGCTGGTAGGTTTATGGTTAAGTAATTATTAGTTCCGTGGTTTTTGCCATTTGGATGGAAGATTCTATTCTGCTTAAGAACTGCAGCGCGGCACACTTTTTTCTGAGATATCTCATGATCTCGAAGTGTCAGCTCCAAAATGGTTAGAGAGCAGATTGCTGGGACGAGTGATTGAAGATGTAGACGGCTTTGATGCCTAGGAGAATCGGCTGCAGTTACTCAACTGTTTTGAAATTGACAGGAGCTGATATGGGGGGTTCCATAAATTGGGAATCCTCAAGATGGTTGGTTTATAAGTTTATAAGTTTATTTCATGGAAAATCCTATCTATAAATGGATGAGAACTGGAGTATCCCTAGGAAACCTCCATATCAGTCCATTACAAGTTCCAACTGCGATCACTTCGCCATAGAATCTGCTACGATTAGACTTTGGATATCTTTGGGTCATGGCCCCGCAGGTAATACCTACACCTCGCTGTACAACCAGCAGGAGATTCTCTTTCATGCTCTCTTCGTAGAGGCCCGGGAGACGGTGATGTGGTTCAACACGATGCGATCATAGTGTGATCAGTGTGTGATCATTTCTGATCCAAAAGGTGATGTAGATGTAACCTTGATTATACGTCTGGGCAAATTATAACGACCTGACTGCGACCTCACTGGAAATCATAGTTAGTAAGGGGAATCATCCCCAAATGGCCTTAATTCAGATTAGTGAATTATTATAATTTGCCCAGGTATATAATATATAATATGACTATGATACTATACCTATACATGATCCTTCATACATCCTACATATACCTAGTATATTAATCCTACAACTGGGGGTTTTCTAGGGGAATCCCCAGCCTGGTTGTTGCTGGGGTACCAGGTCTCGGAGGCGAAATCCTTGTTGGAACAGGCCTGCCTGGTGTGCCAAGGAAGGCAGGGACCATCAGGGACCGCAGGGACCCAAAAACAGTCGTTGCATGGGGCAGAAAATCGACCTGGGGAGGAACTGGACATATCTTCTGAAATAGGAGCAACATGGAGCAACTCCATCCAAATCATCCAATGCATTTTTCTACCGTAAAACATGGTAAAGAGCTGGATTCTCTTGTTTTCGCGAGTTGAGTTTGGATCGGATCGTGGCGTTTTTCTCAGTAGAAACCGTGATTTATTTTTTGGTTTTGGTACCCTTAGTTGGAGCTATGGTGTTTGACATACGCATTTCCTGTTGATGAGGTTTAGGGTGCCTAGAAGTTTCAACCAGAGGTACAGTGAGTCACCAAACTGGCTGTTTGGACCTTCCAATGGAACTCGTTCCCTATGTGTTTTATTGGACGCTGGTAGTTGAAATACATGTTTTTCGCTGGTGCCCATGATTGAGGCATCCAATTGATAGCTGAAGTCTGATTGTAAAAAAACAATATATATATATATACATAGTATATTATACATATTATACATATGATATATGATATATGTATATATATATATGATACATATGAGATATGTATATATATATAACGCATCCTTTTTTCCGACACTGATCCGCCAGAACTCCTTTCCATCCCAGAAGTCGGTCTCAAGTCGGTCGGTTGATCCCCCCAGGCCTTTTTATCCAAAGATGTTGGCAACTGAGCTGAGTTTATGCCGCGGAAAAGCTCGCTGGTCACCACTGGTCACCAGAGGTAAACAGCTAAAATTTCGCTGGTAGATAAAAATTGGTGATATAAAACCAGCTGACAATGATGTAAACCATTGTAAAGATGTAAAGCCTATCACAAGCCATAGCTAATTTTATCAGTTGGGTCTATCTATTGACCTGATTTATGGAGGGCCATTTATTGTTGGGCATGTCACATTCACGACAAACAGTGGTTCGTCCGATCGATGTTTGACTATGACGTCGGGTTAGATCGTTGGTCGATGTTCTAAGGATAGCATCAGAGACGCTTGGTCCCTGCAGACAGGGGGAATGGCTGGTGAGGGTTTCTTGAACCATTGGGTTTAACCCGAAAAGAACATGGATTATGCTTGGTGATGAGATAGCTTTGCCGGCCCCGCATCCGGACCACCAAGAGCCTGGTGCTTGTAGGTCCAACAGCACGGTGAAGCTCCACTTGTTGTGGACAACTTAAATCTATAGAGACCTCACGGGCCGAACTCACTGGAAAATTTGATTAGGAAGGGGTATCATCCAAACATGTCTTTTTCTAGCTTGCGAATCATGATTGACCTTGATTTTCGCATATTTTGATTGGGTCCTCCCCAAAGGATCATGTAAACATATGTAAAATCTCTAAATGCTCATCAACTTATGATTGCAGCAATTTATGCACCAGGAGATATAATTTTTGAACAGATCCTTTGCCCAAAATCCACCCGGCCCAGCCTTCCCGACTTGGATTCTGGATCCAAAAACCTGAGGTCTATCCCATGCTAGCCGGTTGACATGACATGACCATGATTCATAAGCACACCAGGATAGATATATATATATATATACACGATTATATACGTATATATGTATATATAGATAGAATTATATAGAGTTATGTACCAGTTGATGATCTATTCCAAGTGTTCACCTCATTCCAACAGAATATAAGAGAATATAAGTCACAGATGATGCATAATGATTAATTATGAATTATGAACTTTTCGAACTTATAGCTGATTGTCCTATAGCCCTATAGTTTGATAGTAAGAAATGGAATCCCCCATTGCCAAGGTCAGAATGCAGTTTAGAATGCCAGCATTTGTAAATCCCTGTGTATAAATCGATACGAAACGCGTTTGTTCGTGAAGAGATCACGATTTCTGTTGGAGAAACCTAATTTTGGTCATCCCCTTCAGGTGGCGACTGGCATATCCCCATGAAAAACAGCCCCCAATCTTAGATCATCTAATCCCAAACATCTGAGAAGTGGCAAATCTATGAACTTTAAACTTAATATATCAAATCAATATAGTAATAGTATAGTAGAATGTTTATATCACAAAAAACGTGAGTAGGAAAAAACAACGCCATTTTCTGATTTTCATTGATTTTCCACACTTTTTTTGGGGTGACCGGCCGGGATCTGCCGGGATGCCTGGCCCCAAGGATTACGTCTCCACGGACCTTCGTCGCCTGGATGTGGAGCCAGCGGAGTTGCTGGCGAATCGACCCATGGACGACCCCTTGGAGCCGCTTGGAATGGGGCGTTTGGGATAAGACTTGGGGAAAAAATTGGGAAAACTGGATGGTTTTTTGATGTTTTATGATCTGAAAAATGGCATGTTTCATGATGTTTCATGGATTTGTCATCGAGATATAGTGATGTTTGAGTTTGTTGTTGTTTGGATATCAACATCAAACCATGGATTTATCTCCGAGGTCTGGAGATCAACATTTCATTTGGCCTGCCTTTTAGCGGCGTTCTCAGGTACATCCTCTACGCTACGGAGCTGCAGAAAGATGGGGCGCAGGATTTCACATGGAAAGAGGCGCTTTTCTAGGCCAAAACAAAAACTGCAGATTTGGGGTACCATGTTGCCTCATGTTTAGTATTAATTACCCTTTGGCAATTTAACGCAACTATAGACACTGGTGCATGCAGTTCCATGTAATGCACCTATTAAACATGGTGATTTTCCATAGCTGTCACCTATACAAATGGTGAAATGGTGAAATGGAGATATGTAATTAAGATTTATTGAACAACATCAAACATGTCATATACCTATTCATAAAATACCTATGAACATATTTAATGGACATATATATCATGATATATCATAATATATCATAATATATCATAATATAATATAATATAATATAATATAATATAATATAATATATCTATTAAACATGGTGCTTTCATCCTTGTTTTAAACGCTGAATTCCCCGAAAGTTCACCACATTTCACCACCCATCGCCGAGGCTACGTCCGTGGGGGTGTCTCGACTCATGGATTCGGTGGGGTTTCTGTTTTCGTCACCAACATTTTAAGATGATTTTAAAGTGTATACATGATTTATACATAATATATATATATATAATTATATATATAATGTATGCGGGCATTTTTTGAAACAACTTACCACAATTTGAGGTAGTAATTTATCACTATTTTGGGGGGACGCACCAAGTAACCGGGGTTGACCAAAAACATGGGCACACAATCAGGGTTGCTCCAACGAGTTGTAGGTGAATGCTTGCCGAAATGGTTGATTTTACCAAATGTTGCCTCTATACTTGGCCAATGTCCCGCCCAAAAGTATTTGGGGTGTTGGGAACAACCCTGACAATGGATACTGAAGCATCCAATCTTTGGGATGATGCGAATGCCCAAAAATTGTGTACTGATTTGTTTTGATTGCTCATATCATTTTATATCCATGCTCTCTTAATTTCTTACCGGTCTGAGATAAATGATGGCAAATGCTTCACATCGAGACCTTTCCATATGGGTCTATATAATATGGTCTATATAACAGTCATGATCTATTTAATCTATTTCGCACTCATACTTGCAGGGGGAAATCTATGGAATTCTCCAAATTCAACCAACCGCAATCTACACATCTTTCCACTTCCCACGGGCTTCGCCCAGGTTCCATCCATCATCTACGACACCATTCGGGACCTACGGCAGGCCAGCACCACTTGCAAAGATGTGCGCTGCGAAAGCCTAGTGCAAGCATTTGTCGTGACCATGTGCATATAAATCACAATAACTATCAAGAAATCACAAAGGGTGCTTTCGAAAATATATTGCGAGATCACACTAGTTACTATCGCAATGTGTGAAATAGGGGCTACTGTACCCTAGATCAATCCAAGTCTATGACCATTTTCGTATTGAAACCATGGTGACTTCGGGATTTTGGGGGTACACTCCAGGCCCGTGGGCAGCGCTTGGGTGCCATGCAATGCAAGCTGCCGGCGATCCATTTCGTGCACCTTGGAGCCAAACATGTGACAGTTTCACCAGCAAAAGGTGGGGTTAGCATGGTTTAGACAATAATGAAGTACAATACCCTCCGGTAATCGAACATAGCAATATTAGCAATTGGAAATCCACCATTTATAGTTGATTTTCCCATTAAAACCTCCATTCATGGAGGACGATTTCCATTGCCATGAGAGGGTATTCATTACCTTGTTAGAAGGTGTCAGGGGTGCTTGGGCACCCACAAGTTTTGTCACAACCAGGCGGCAGAGTCGGCTCATTTTTCAGCATCAAGATATAGCCAGGGTGATTTCACTACCACAAATTGGGATATAAATGGGCCCTTAAAACTATGGTATAGTTAACTGTGGTATATCCCAATCAACAGTGGTATAATTAATAACTAGTGGTATAATAAATTTGTATAACTACAGTGGAATATACAAGTTTCGTATATCAAACTGTGGTATAATACAAGAATCTTCTCCCCTTCCCCTTGCTGCCAATAGTGCCGTCCGGAGGGGTCGGCGGATATATTATATAACTATGGTATACTATGGTTAATTAAATATATATGAATATATATCCACAAATAAAACTGGAACTGCACTGCACTCCCAAGCACAAATCAGCTAAACTCCCTAGAAGCCTGGAACCTGCTGTTGGGTTGCAAAGCTGGGTTAATGACACATTGTGACCCGTTGTGAAAATCCCTGCCAACCAGTATGTATACATAGGGATGACAGAGGGCTGAGTATCTACTAGAAGTGATGTGTTTTTTTTTTTTTTAACGGATCATGTGAGGTACCATGAACACTGCTCAACTGCTTAAAAATAGTTTCGGCCATGATGGGCCATGAAGCTAGTTGACGGATAAGTGGGTTATGCTAGTTATGCTGTCTACAGTTCACTGTCCCAGTTACAAGGATTCATGCAGCTACCCTCCAGCAATTTAACCAGGCAATGGAAAACCGCCCATCACGATGATTCTCCCGTTCCAAGGAGGGAATTTCCTGCCAAATTGCCAGAGAGTACTTGGGGGTGCAGTTCCAATTGTAAGATTTTAAAAGTAGATATGTAACCATAGTTATAGGGGGGCCATATCCCAACTCAGGGTAGTTATATAATGTCCCACCGTTATAACCATGAATTACCCAAAGTGTAAAATAGTTATAGGTGGTTATATCATATGGAGTTTTCCTAAGTCATGGGGGTACCCCCAAAACATCCAAGTCATGGATGACCATGACTTAGTATTGAAACAACCATCGTGACTTCGGGATCCACCATTGACGGAACTCCCCATGCCCATATCTCTCTATATATAATTGTATACTAAATAAATAAATAAATAATATATATATATTATATCATATATATCATATATATAATTACATATACAGTATATATATACATATATATATATATACATATATATATACATATATATATATATATCAATTTATGGTATTTAGTTGAGAATCTCTCATCCCATGGCTATCCCCACTTTATCTCTGGCCCTAGGTTGCTCTACGTTTTGGGCATCCTGGAACTCATGGCATTTCCGCTGCTGGGCGCCGGAACGTTTTCCATGGCGCCCGATGAGAAGATGCTTGCAGACATCTGCTGGTGGAATGTGAATGGGCAGATGATGCACCATATATATATATGCAAATATATTCTATGTAGATACGTACATTCTTTAGATTGTCATTTTTTCATACACGTCAGTGTGGTAAATATAAGCGGTTCCAAACGGCATTTGTTGATCATTTTCTATATATGAACATTGCGTTTGTGTGTATATATGTATATATATATATGTTCATCAGGAATCTGTACTCTACTCACACATGTATATATATATATACATACATATTTATCATAACTATATGTATATACATACAGATGTATACACATTCTATTGTCATTGTTGCCACTGCAGCCAGTCGTGTAGGGCTGTTTTTTGTTCAACTGCTTGACAGGCTTGTATTGCAAGGATGTTTGAACAGCATCAACTAGGTTGGGTTCTAGAGGGCACTGAATCTGAATGTCAAAACATGCATTTTGTAATTAGGAGTGTGCTTTTGCACTGCAGTTTGTTAAATTCAATGTTGCGTATCTCCCCAAGTTCATTGCTTGAATATATATATATATATATATATATATATTCAGTCTTGCACAGAACACCAATTTCGGCAGCGCACCAGTACGCCTCGCAAAGTCATCCTCGTGGTCATTGCTCGATTTTTTATTGGTGATGTATCCCCATTGCGATTGATGACATCCAGATTTCAGTGGTGACACCAGCAGCTGGGATGATCCGAACGTGCCAGTATTGGTTATAATTGTGGTAGATATCACTAGATTTTTGCAATCAGGATTGACATTGGGCAATATTGGGCATACCAAGTTACTACCTTTGGTATGAATAGGTGTCACAATGATACTTTGAACCATGGTTTTTCCACCACATTTTCCGACCTTCAGGATCCTGAGCATCCAAGCACTCTTCTTTGGCGCCATGTGTGGGGCCATCGTGTCGTGGCAGGGAAGGGGTTGGAATAAGAAATCCTGTTGTTGGCAATGGGAAATCACCACGTTTCATGGGAAAAATTGTTCAAACAATTTCAAAGAAATCTTTAAGTGCGTAATTAGAAATGGTTCGTTTTCCATTGGCCATATTTCGCCATGTTTATCGCTGATCTTGCCTGGTTTTCACCTGCCAGGTTTTGCTGCTCGCCAGAGTCTGTGTGCCCAACCAGTCCTCGTCAGATAGCAAGCCATAGAATATGATATATTAGAATAATTTAGACTATATGTCAGAGTATATGTCAGGAAAAATGTCACAGTGCATGTCAAAATATGTGTCAGGATAAATACCAGAGTTGAAGTCAGAATGTTTGTCACAGCGCAAATGTACCTTAATGTGGGTGTAGTCCAAGATCATATTTCCTCCGAGTTTGACAGTTTCATATAAAAAACAACCAATGTGGTTTGGCTCCCCAATTTTGAGCTATGTCTCCCCATCAACTAGCATCGCATTTCTGATGTTCTTCGCGTCCATTCTGATTCCACAAGGCCCTTGATTTCTCGATTTGCCCAGATGTACCCTTTAAAAATCCACTTTGGTTGGTCATGGTTGATCATCATTTTCCGGAAAAAGTGGATCCACATGGGGATGAATTGGATGAATCATCTTCGGAACCCAAATGGGATGCAGCAGCACTATATCCCATTTATATCCCCATTTAATATATAGTATATCCATGTATATCCCATCAACCCCCCTGGATCCTATAGCCAAGAGGTCATGACTCTGCAAGTGATCTATGAATTGTGGAAACCCTTTGGCGGGGCATACACCGTGGACACCGCGCCTGGACCTTTTCAGGGGGCGCACTTCAGGGATTCTGAGATGATCTGGATCATTTGGACCCCAAAAGTTCGCACATTGCGGATCTTGTGGGCTGGGTCCTGGAGCCACTGGAGCCCGCTACAGAATATCCTTTTTGGGCCCCAAAACATCTGGAAAAGTTGAACACGGTTGAACCATCCAAATTCCCCACCATTGATCGTGCAATTAGTTCAGTTATGCATTGTGCATGGTTCCATGCTGGTACTTAGACTAAGGTCCTGAAGTTTGTTTCCAAACATCGAAGTATTATGCATCATGCATCTATGTAAGAATCTAAGGTCACCATTTGACAAAGGTCAACCATGGTATCAGGGTCTCTATCCTTTTTTCGCGCTGTGTCAAGGGTGGAACTCACGGCGGGGATGGCGATCCAGATTGTTGATCTGGAGATAAAGTTCAATAGTTCCAGATTAGCCAGATTAGTACATTATCTCCACTAATTATGTATTATGTATAGTCTTCTTAATAGATTCGATCCAGATTCTATCAACTTCTCAAGGAGGCCGGCTTTTCACGCTAAGGCATTGTCGCGCATGGTGGCGGGCTTGGAAGAGGACCGGAGGGAAGGCTAGGTGCGGTTATCTTAAGGTTTTCAACTTGTTGATCACTGCCTCATTTTTGAAGACTCAGTATAGGTCTATGGATTTACTGGATGGATCTGGATGGTGGTTTTGGTTGCAATGTGTTTCATCGTTCTCCATGTCTTGATCAGGGTGATCAGCCCAATTCACACATATATTATTTACCCTCTGGTAATTTAACGTAACTATGGAAAATCACCATTTTTTATGGGAAAATCCACTATTAATGGTCATTTTCAATAGCTACGTTAAATTACCAGAGGGTATATAAAAGTAGACTGATGGGAGTGACTTCAGCATCACAACATAGGTGCGATGAATGACCCGAGGGGTACCGAATCAAGATGTCACTGCTGTCAGCTCTGCTGATGTTTGGGCCCAGGTCAAGAGTCAAGATGTAAGGATCGCTGCTTTAGCCAGCAAAGGGTTACATTTTTAATCAGCTTTATGTGGAATTCTTCGTCATGCTAGAGTTGATAGAATAGGGGAATTTCACACATTCCTCTCTAAAACAGGAAAATCTTTGAAACTTCCATATTCTATCCTTCAGAATGATACAATATGATAATATGATACACATATATAATAGTAGTGAGTAGGCATGATGCTAGGTTCGTTGCTTCAATTTCACCACATCATATATCATCCACCATATCCATTTCATGTTCCATCATTTTTCACCATCATATTTTCCATTCATCACCCATTTCCACCATATCATCAATCATTGTTCCAATATTTTTCCCATTCATCTTCATTTTTCGTTTTCCCATTTCATGTTTCCATTGTCTTTTCATTCATATTCCCATTCATCTTCATTTTCATCTTATCCATCATATTTTCATTCATCATCTTCATTTTCATCCATAGTATCATAGCGACGAACCTAGCATCATGCCTACTCATAGAAAAAATAGGTAAGAAAGAATAATTTAAATTATCTTAATCAAAATAATTTAAATCATTTCATCATAATTTTATTTCAGGATAATAATTTAATTGGTGTGGTCTATTCTTATTCAATTCATAGGTCATTTTAACAAAAATATTCAAATCCCTTATTGTATTTTTAACATTTAACTTTTTGCTTTCAATATACAGCTTAATATTTTCTTTGACATCTTCAACATCCTCGTGAGCAAGTTTCCATAATATCTTTTCCAAAACATCATATTTCTTTTCACTTATTCTCATTACTTGTTTAACATCTTTTAAGGTTGGTAAATAATGATGATAAACAGTAATAAATGCCAATACATCTTCTTCAACATTTCTTTTTTTCCTAATATTTATTTGACATAAACAGTAGAACAATCTTTGATTACACCTCCAAATACAACAGTAATCACACTCTTCCTCATCATAATTATATTTAATAATATTATTCACTATATCATTTGGTAAATTCAATTTATACAATTCCATATTTTCTTTTTTGAAATGACAACAGTCATAGCATTTTTTGTTAATATAATTATTAATTTCATTCCTCAACATTTTCACTCTTAATATATATAGGTAATATTTCTTTAAATACTTTTAGACTAAAACTTAAATTAGTATTAAGATTGACTAAATTAATATTAATATTAAAATGATAAAAATATTTCCTTTATCAACTCTTCTAAAAAAGATTAAGCTAAAATAACTTAAATTATCTTAATCAAAATAATTTAAATCATTTCATTCACAAATACTTTTTAATTCTATTTATTATTTTGTCACTTGTTTTTTTATTGTAAATATTATTTCCTATTTTTTTTTTGAAAATACCCCATTATTCTCATTGCGTTCTTTACTGTATATTTAAGTTCATTTGAATCACATTTACAACTTATGTTATTCATCGCTTCGTAATACAAATCATCAATACTAAAAGACATACTATACAATCTTTTCACCATATCATAGTATTGAAAAATAAAATCATTATCATTTCCTTCATCGTCGCATTCAGATAATAAATTGTGAAATTCTTCTTTAGTTAAAAAATCATTCATCTGAATAAATGTCCATATTTCTAAATCTTCATCAAGGGTATTAACACTTCTAATATCAATATCAATATTTCTATCATCCATAGCATCAATGTTTTTTACTACTTTGGAGCAATTATCGCACATAATATATTGACACATATTATCAACAACATCATTCATAAACCCTTGTTTCATTGTTAGTTTAATCATATTACAGTCTCTACATTTGTAACTCATAAACTTTTGTTTCAATACATTTTTAGCATCCATACCTTCACGGACAGTATCACTATAACAACTATACTCACTCTCAGTATCACTCATTATTCTAATAATCTTATATAGGTAATATTTCTTTAAATGATTTTAGACTAAAAATTAAATTAAGATTAATATTACAATGATACACATATTTCCTTTAGCAACTCTTCCGGATTTCAAGAGAGACTTTGAAAAATCTCTCTTATCAAACTTTTAGGTATTCTATACAATTCTTCCTGTGTATGTCTAATAGCAAAAGGATTATTTTTAAAATCATTAGGTAAGCGTTGCGCCGTTTCAATATGCTTATTATCAACTACTTTACCGCAGTCTTTCTTACATAAGGGTCTAGGCGTCCAATTAGGACGTCGCAAAATCTCGCGACGGAGTGTCGCAAAATCTCGCGACGGAGTGTCGCAAAATCTCGCGACGGAGCGTCGCAACTTCCCGCGACGATTTTTTGGGGCAAGTGCTCCCGATATAAGTCAAATGATTTACTGTATTTTTGATGATGTAAATTTTACCCTTACTGTAGTCCCTAGTCATACGGTTTTCTATTGATTATTAAGGTTGATATATCTTTAGATGGGTTTAAATACCTAAAAATAATTATACCAAAATAGGTTTAATTGGTATAATCATTTTCAAACAATAACCATCATCGCTTCGGTAATATCTTTCTTATACTTTCTGTTGTAGTTTCTTTCCGGTGGTGGTTCATCACTATTCGTTTCTTCCAGTTTTTTTTGTTCTTCTTTTTCTGCTTTCTTCTTTTGATAGTATCTACGCTTACTTTCTTTTCTGCTTTCCTTCATGTCTGGATTGTCCCTTGTCCTATAATAATACAGTCTTTGATACAATGCCATTTGTTCTTTGATTTCATCAAGTGTTAAGTCTTCAGTTTTTTTTGATGACATTATTATTAATATAATCTATATATTATTATTTCTTTAGATACATTTTAAGTCAAAAATAATATTTAAGTTTTTTCGTAATTATGGGATTTAGTGCCATATATATCTAAAGAAATATTTGTATTATTTTCCAATATATGTTATGATTAAAAAGTCTATAAAGAAAAATATTGATGCTTTAAAAAATCTACGAGATAGTAAAAGAGGCAAAATTCCAAATACCATTCTGGGTAAAGTGAATAACATTGTTGAATTACATGAGCAGAGAAAAATCGTTCAACTATCTACCGCACAAAATCTTATCAACAACATTTCAACCAACAACCCCAAGAAAAGAGCAAAAGCATTAGAAGAATATGAAAAGAAAGTTGAAAAATATGAGACATCAAAACCAGCAGGAGAAAGAACAGCACAGAATGCCCAAAAAGCAAGAGAAGGAAAACAGATAAAAAATGTTAGAGTAAGATTAAGAGAAAAAACAAAGGCATCAGCAATATCAAGACTTGTAAGACAAGCAAGAGAGAGAGGGATAGGCAACAGGAAATTATATTCAATTGAATTCATGCTTTACTCACTGGAACCCATAGGTGCCATAGTCAGAGGCAAGAAAATCAACAATCTAATCTATTATCCAATGTTTGAAAGAGGAAGACCCAGACAAGCAAGCATCAAAGTAGGGGAATTCATTGAAACACTGACTAACAGAACAGTAACTAAACAGCAAGAAAAACCGATGTTTAAAAAACTGATGATGTTTCTAAAAACTGATGGTGGCTTAAAAGATGCCATGCCAGACATGTTAGATTATGTAGATGCCATCCAAATAACTAAAGTTGAAAAGACTGATGATGACGGCAGACCCTACAATGTAGAGGATGAGGGACTGAGGGAAACAGCAAATGTAAGCATCTACAGTTTTTATCATGAGTCAGTGATTGATGTTGATAAAGAAACCGTAAAGGAAGCAATACAACATAATAATTTTAGAGAAAATGAGTGCTGGATAAATGAACTCCTTAAAACTTATGAAGGGTCTGAACTGATGAGAGAGAAGAGAGGAAAATTAGCAAAAACATTATCAAGAAACAAAATATTAGAACTACTAAATAGGACAGAAGATGACATACATGAATACGGCATATCCATTAATCAAATGGAAAAGATGTTTAAGTTTTTCAATATACCGGTCAAACTATATAACTACCGGTGCCAGTTGATTTATAAATTTGAACCTAACAACTTCAAGAATGGCAGAAGAAAAACCATCTTTGTAGCATTCATCAAAAACAATCATGTTTATCCAATCAATGCCAATCAAGATAGTTTATGTCAGTTGAAAGTGGGTGAGCAATATTGTGCCAAAGCATCCAGTAACTTTTATATCACCGATAAGACTGAACCACCAAAATTCAAAATGTTTTGTCATATAGATGAGTTACTGAAAATGACTGAGCATGAAGAGTATAATCTAATACATAAAGATAATAATTTGAATGAAATATTATTCCAATTTAGGAAAGCAGGTTACGAACCCATGGTTAAATACCAAGGTAATAGAATAGTAGAACTGAGGGCAAGATACACTGAAAAGAAAACAAGAAAAGTAAGAACTTACATTATCAAAACTCAAGACTTATCAAAGGAAATCATAGAAAGAGATGTATATACTGATACTGAAGAAAAGTATAATAGAATTGTTGAGGCAATGTTTGATTTTAACAGCAAGGTCTTTTCAGAAAGCCATAAGTCAGACTATAGTGAGTTGGATGTAACAATATTAGATGAATGTAGGACAGTAGTTCCATCAGGTTATTTTGAT